TACGCTGGGCCAGCACGGGTACCTGCGCGGTCGCAAAAGCCTTTTGGCCCAATATAGATCGCAGGAGATCTAATGATCTCTTTGCCCTCAGTAAAGCCAGCCTCTCKTTAGTGACGGGGCTCTTGACGGGACACTGCCCTATTGGCATACTTGCTGTAAGACTGGGAATTATACCGGACGTCGCATGTAGAAGCTGCTTGGAAGAGGATGCGATAGAAACTAGACAGTGAAGTTTCTGTGTTTTTTCTTAAAAAAAAAAATAGGTAACCGCGAAATGGATCATCTTTTATAATTGCAGGCAGTATTAACGTTGTGTTTTCTTTAAACTAAAGGGTGTTATCGTCTTGTCTATCCTTGACCGATAAATTTTTTATTATCCTTCAACAATCAGCGAGATAAGGGGAACGAATCAGATTTTTTATCCAGACAAGAACAGACGAACCGGACAAAGTTCCACAAAATCATTAGTGGAATGTTATTTGCATATTAGTTTTTTCGAAAAAAAGATGAAATTAGTAAATATTTGTTGGCTAGGAAGGGGGTAGCATAACGCCACACATTAACATATTTCAAAAATTTCCATCGGAATAGTGGAATGTTATTTGCATATGTGTTTTTTCGAAAAAAAAAACTGAAATTAGTGAATATTTGTTGGCTAGGAAGGGGGTAGCATAACCCCACACATTAACATATTTCAAAAATTTCCATCGGAATTGCATCTACTTATAAATATGCATACTGACACATACACACGAAGCAAAGTGCATGCCTATCTAACACTTATGTCCGTAAACATACATACACACCTATGGATATATGTATGTATGTAATCCCACAATGAAAAGCTGTTATTACAGGTTGCTATGAATCGAGTCGATGGCAATGACAATGTTGACGCTACCTTGGCATTGGCGCTTTGTGTAACGCAGTGTTAGAAACGCCGTTGCTGTGTATTTGTTTATTTGTATTTAGTGCATATGTAGGAGTGTATGTATATTTATAGCATTTGTTGCCATTGCATTCTTCTCAAGTAATTTAGGTCTATTTAGCACAAAAAAGCGATAAGTCGATTCGAGTTCAATGATAAAATCAGCAACATCACAACAAAAGCAACAACAAGCATACGTCAAATCCAGTCTGACGACTCTATTCGGCGGCAATTCAAATGCACAAGCAACATTTAACTCAAAAACCACTTAAATTCAAATCGTTTGCGGTACAAACTGTATGCCATGCCATGAGTGATATCATTATTTTGAATGCATAAGGCTGAAGACGCATACCGATTACATACATATGTATGTATGTGTTGACAACGCTTAACGGTTCAACATGTTGTCTGCTGTTGCTTAAACCTTTTCGTTCCGCTTTATTTAGCATAATTAAAGTGGTGAATAGCGCCGTATGCGAGATGCAAACATATTCAAAATGCGACAGTCAAATTAACTGCTATTCGTTACGAGCGCTTTGCACTCGTGCATAATCGGAATACACATAAAAATATGTACTAGTTGTTATTTTATTGTTGTAACTGGTTCAATATTTGCATTTGAATGGCTTATTGATGAGCAGCACCGTACAAATCGGCAATGCGAAGGCGCATATGAAACGATTTACATATATAAATATTGTATATATACTAATGTATATACACATGTTTATGTAAATCGCGTCTGTGTAGCACCAGTTATAACACCAGTTTTTTGTCTAATTTGCATTTTTCATGCAATTTTTCGTTAAGAAAATATACAAAAACAACACAGGAGCAGTAGCTTTAATCTCTTCGTCGTACGATTACTTGCTCTATATGTTTAAGAATGCGTCGCACAGTTAAGACAGTTTAGGGCGCAAGCTGTGCAAGGCTCTTCGTACGCCGGGTACGCGTAGTAAACTGCGTTTTTTTGGATCAAACGTGATGCTTGAAGACGTCTTCGGTGCTGCCCTCTTGACCTTATGCCTTTTTAATTCTATTAATATGTGTCGAGATCTATGAATTATTAATCAATTGATAGAAGATGCAGCATTAATGTATGCAAATTTAGGGTCAACACTCGCCTACGTTTGTTGCCTCTTAAATTAGTTAAAGTTATTGATGAAGAATGCAAATATATACCATAAAGAAGTTTCAGTTCAAGTGCAACGACATTGGTTATTAGTTAAATGCATATTGTAGTTATTCATTAAATTATTACTTAAATTAATCAAGTGGTTTCTCGCGCTTGTCATGTGATCTAATTAACACTACATAACGAATGGTGGTTATTAGATGCAGCCTTTACAAGCTTTAGAGCTTTGAATGCGAGTCTATTTTATGTGAGACCTTTAATTGGTGGCTTAATATGGCTCGCCGAGGGTCTTCTGCTATGAAACAAAGAGGTTTTGCTATTTTAAAATTTGCTGCAGTCGTTATATGCACCCATAATCAGATTAAATGACTGTTAATAAGAAGTGTGGACCTCGAAATTATTTATACATATGTGTTATTTATTGCTCTACATATTTGACCCCAAAATAGAGCGGCCAAATTGAAACTAAACTGAAATTGAATTTGAAATTATAATTAAATTGGAATTGGAATTAAAATTTTTTACAATTTTTTTATTTTTTGAGGTTATACAATTTTCGTAAATTGTTTTCTCTGGTAGATGAATGACTAACTAATTCAAGGATTGCAGACTCGTTCCATATGTTTTCTGTTTATCGCTTTTCTGTTCTCAAAATTGAAGAATTTCTTCGATAGCAGCAAAGTATAGTCAACTGAGCTACGTGATTGAAACAAACTTTAGGGATCTTGTGATCTACATTCTAGATAACCTCAAATTTGACCGATGGAGAACTTAAATGTATTTCATATTACCGCCCTAAAATTTCAGAACAAGTTGAAACACCGAAATTTTTGAAAAACATACACTTTGAAACAAATTTAAATATATGTCCGCTCAGATCGACACTTTAAGAAATTGCATATTTGCAACATAGTATAACAATAATGCCACCGCCGTTTGGAGTAAACAAATTGATAACAGAGCTATTTAAGCACAACAGCTAGCTTATAAAGTATCAACAAACAACTGCAGAGCCAACATCTACGTGGACAGCCAACCTGCAATCAAGGCTTTAACTTCGTTTCGTACAGGCAATAAGATAGTGGGCGATATTGCCATGAGTGGTGTACGGCTGACACCTGAAGACGTGGTCAACATTGGGAAACCCATGCATGGCGAGCTAGATAGAAGCATGGTAAGGAAAACCAAAATGCAATCCGCAGAGTCTATTGTAATGCTTGGCTCTGTGTATATTATATATGTTTTTTAATTTAAAAAAAGAAACTTGAACTATATTGAAAAAAATATTTATTTTTTTATGTTAATAGTTGTTCAAGATATTATTTTTTAAATTTTTATTAAACATTTAAATTTGTTTTG